AGTTTGTCTAAAAAGTCTTTGGACAAATATTTTTTATAATAAATAAATATATATTTAATTATTTGTTATAAAATTTTAAAAATATATTTTTTAGAATGTAAAAAACAAAATAATAAGTTTTTTTTAATACAGTCTACCCTCTCTAATATCAACCTTACTAATATCAACATCTCTCTATTATCAACATTTGTTATAGAACAGATTTTTCCTTATGAAAATTTTCCCACATATATCAACTTTAATATTATATCCCGTTAATATCAATATTAACATAATTACTTATTACACTCTTAATTATATGTACCCTGTAAATATCAATCTTAATATACAATAATATGCATTGTCATATGTTTGTTCTTATTTTGTATAACAAATTATTTGTATATTTTTTCTTTTTGAGCAAAATGCTATAATCAGAACTAAACGACAGGTAGAATTTGCTTTGATTTTTCAGCTTTCTTCCCTCTTTTCTTCCCATTATACTGTAACAGGGTAAATTGGAATGCAACTTTCGTCACATGACCAATTGTTGTATAAATGGTGAAACCTGATGAATGAAAATGCCGGAATGCTGACTAAGGAAAAAGATAGTGTAAAGGAAAAGGTGAGTGAACCAGAAGAAGTTACAGAATTAGCGCAAGACCTAAAGAAGAAGCATCGTCAGAAGATAGCGAGAGGCTGACCTGAAGACATGTCGACAGGTAAGGCGGTGTTGTGGGAACAATAGGAATAGTAACGCAATATTGTGTTGTGTCACTTAATAATAGTAACATTGATAGAAGATTGATGTAATAATTGGTAATAGCATGTAATAGAATGGACGTGTCTACAAGGCATACATATAAGATAGTTTATGTAGTATAAGATAAGACATATTTTTAGTTCTAGATTGGAGATTTGAGAGTTTCGTTTTAGAACACTTCTTTGTTTTTGCACACTCGCGCTTTATTAAATTAATGCTATTTGACTTCACACAATAAACAACCTTACATTCATTAAAGTCTAAACTAAGTCTGCGCCACTACAGTAAAGTAAATGCCTTTAAGAGAAAGACATGCTGTTACCTTTTGCACCATGAAGATGAACACTTGTAATCTTGAGACATGCCTAGGGAAAGACGGTCAAGAAGAGATTAGCAAGTGTGTGAAAGTTGGCCAAATTGTAACCACCTCGGAGTTAAAGCCTTACCTTATTTTAGTGTCATAATTCAAGCATTCAGATTATCGTCACATGAAGAGTGAGCTGTTTTAGTGACAGACTCGCCAGTAACAACAACAGTGGAAAGGAATCTTGATGAGAAGATGTGTCCTGAGCCGCAAAGGAAAGTCGACTACATGGAGAAAGATGGTGAAGTTGTCTTGGTGAACGATGAATTGGACGGAGGTCGAAGGCTAACCCATAATGAGTTATTGGTTATTCATGACAGCTTGAACCCATGTAACAAAACGTCATACAAGGATGTAAGAATCACAATGCCCGGAAACCCTATGAGAAGCAACCATAGAACCAAAATGAAAAACAAAGGAGATGAGTTAGCAACAAATCCCGGACAAAATGATGAAAACCTCGGTGAAATAAAAAGACGACTGGAAGACCAATAAGAGAACCCTAGATAAATACCACGAGCAGTTAGGAGACGTGGAGGAAACGAAGCTCATTATGGAGAAATAACCAATCGTCACAGATGATCGCGACCAAGGAGGAGGAGATGAATTTGTACAGAACACAGAGATCAAGTACGACGAAGAAGAAGATAGGCAAAGTAATAATCAATACGGAGAGATAAAGATAGTAGAGAACTGACTAAATAAGGAAAGGGAGATAAGTAATAAGACTAAAACGACACACCTGACGAAAATCTCGTCCAAAGAAATCTGGATGAATATCCCAAACGAGTACGCCCAACCAATATTGCTACACCAACGCCTTATCGTAAGGCCACCAGGAGAAAAAAAGAAGAAAAGACACAGATTAGTATATTGAAAACTAAGATTTGGACGACCCCGATGACATAGCGCTTACTGCATCAAGCCACGCCATGATCTGAACAAACGGATACACAAATGGAAAAGGAAGACAAAAACGAAAGAACGACTCATTAGCACTTGCATTATCTTGCGACGCGATATCTTTATACGTGATACACATATGAGAATTTTTGGAATGTGACTTTTATCATGTGACCGATTGTTGTATAAATGATGAGTCGGTGAAGTAATAATTAGGTAATAAAGGAGAGATTGTGAAAAAGAATTATGTAATCTAGTTTTAACCTTGCCATTGAATTACACCTATTGTTTTATGTTTCAGCCACCATAGCCAAATGTAAAAGAAAGTATAAATGACATGTAAAAGTAGAATAGAAGAGGGGAGGAAGTGAGAAGAAAATTAATAAAAGACTCGGTCAAATAAACATGCCTAAAATCACCTTAAGTCTACTTATCTCT